GTACCTATAACAGTTAACCAAAATCCCCATAATCTTTCATTAAATTTTCGCCAACCTATATGTCTAAAAACTCTACACCACTGACATATTTCGCCCCAACCTAAAAAACAATAACCACCGCTAATTCCATTTAATTTAGATGTTTGATTCATTTACAAATAGGGCTGTTAAATAGCCCTTTCATTTGGACTAATCACTCCGGATTATCTTCCATATTCACCTGCTTTTTTATAAGCACCAAGCACCATAAAGAAAACATGGGCTAATTAAAACCATGATGTTAAGTACATCATGATTAAAACTAAAACTCAATGATGTACATACTTTTGTCTCAGAATACAGTGAGTTCCAAATATTTCTCGTCAAAAACTCGGATTATGGATGCGGGAAATGAGGTTGTGGTATGGTTTCAGCAGTAGAATGTCCTCTTATTTTTTGAAAAGGAGTATCGTTATAAAATTCTATCAAATCACAACTAATTATGTTTTTGTACATTTTTAATTTGTATTGCAACTAGCTATATTTCAGGCTTAAAACAAGAGTTCATCCAATCCTTCTTTTTGTTTCGATGTTCCAACTTTGGATCTATGCACTATTTTGGTCTTTTTGAGTCTTCTAATTATTATACGGGGTCTCTACTATTTCATAGGGACAGTATTGATATTTTTTAAACGGTAACATATTATAGAAAGTTGGTTAAATTAGAAAAAAGTTGCGCAGTTTTGTGCTCATTAAAATAGTGCCAAGAAACCTTTGATATCTACAGGAAGATTTAAAATATCGGACAAAAAATTGAAATTGTCATTTCTTTAAATTCATTTATTTTTTGTCCGATATTTTGAATCTCCCTGTAGATATCAAAAGTTTCTTAGCAACTTTTGTCTATATTTGACCAACTTGCTTTTGTTACCGTTCAAGAAATAGCAATACTGTCCCTATGAAATAGTAGGGACCCTGTCAGAGATAACAGAGATAAAATATAATATTCACGATATTAATTCGACAATCCATACACTCTATTTGTAGACGCGGGGCGATGCGACGAAAGGTGAGAGAAGGGATAAAGAGAAGAATTTTACGCAGATATATTATTGTTATCAATGAATAAATGTGTAAGACGCTGTGCGCTTATAATAAACAACGTAAATATCCATGCCGGTGTAAGCCATGTTGCCACTTCCAACTTTACATCACTAGGTTCTGGAATTTATTGAAAATTATTTAGTGAAATTACACCTAATTTAGTTAAATTTAATATAACTAATGATTCAAAATTTTTTTTGATTCACTTGCAATAAAATAGGTTGAATTATTTTAGCTTTCTTAATATATGTAAATAATTTTGTAAACAAAACGAGAATAATGAATTAGGCATATGACAACAGCGGATATTATACCCGTCTGTGTCCCTTAGAATATGTCTTATTCAGGACCGCACGATATTTTGTTAGTAGTTACATCTCCTTGTTATTTCTGAACCCTGTATAGTATCGGTTGTCCATCAGGAGCTGAAGAAATTCAATATTGACGTGGTCATGCAACCTATTTTCGTGGTTTTTGCGATGTTTTTCCATTCATCGTTTACTATTGCTCTTATTTTGTACTGAACACGGTTTTGTACATTTAAGCACAAATTTTTATAATGTATCTGTTGACTTTACAAAATGAGCACTCTTGAAAGTAGAAGTAGGGGAATGTGTACCAAAGAAATTGCAAATATGACGAAATAAATAAGAATAAACGATCATATTTTGACAAAATATCGCTCTTCGTGCAATTTATATTGCATTAAAAAACAATTTTCATAGGAGCAATTTTATTGGGGGTGTCAAGTTTAGAAAGCGAGGCGCGCATTAATTACGTTTTAAAATGATGTGTGTAATAAAAACTTCTTATAAAACGATTCTTTGTAAATCCCTTTTTTATATTTTTCGTCTCTAACTTCGCCATTAAAGCATCTGAAAGAGCGCGCTTAACGAATTCCCACTAATGCGGAATTAAATACCCGTCACCCTATTTTATTTTTTATACGGATTTTTTAACGAACGACACTGTTTATCACATCTGTGCTACACGCGATATTGGTAAATGGACACAGTGGAATACGCCACAATATATAAAAGTATCTCAGAACAAAAATATGACGCGTGGCACGCTGGGATAACATCCACTTTGTCGTAACAACCACGTGCCAGGCATTACGCTCAATTTATGGCCCTACTTACCTATTTGATAGGCCCTTATTTTTCTTTAAATGTTACATTCGTTAGGTATCTGTATATCAATCAACTACTTGCTATGTGCTGTTTAAAGTTTCACTTAGAGTTGGTAATAGCGTTCAAAAAACAGCGTTATAATATTAATCACACAAAAGGGGTAGTATTCAATGCAAGCTTTCAGGTGAAAATAAAATTGGGAAGTTTCTGTACGAGGTGTAATCGTTCAACAAGCCCTAAATATGAACAATAGATGGTGCGAGAAGAAGGAGATGTCCGTGAAACCTCAGAAAACTGTTATCGTTCCATTCACCATGAGGAGAAAACTCGAAAAGCTTCGGCAAACTACTCTGGTTGGGGAAAACCATTAATTTTGTTTTCCTCTAGACCCTCAGAAGGATAAGTGGCATAGCGATTTATCAAATCGTGGTAAAACCAATGGGCCCTCTGCCTGAACGAGGCCCCTCTATCTAAACGAGGGCCCTTTGCCTCAACGAGGGCCATCTGCCTGAACGAGGGCTCTCTGTCTGAACGAGGGCCCAACGACCGAACGAGGGCCCACTGCCTGAACGAGGACCTATCACTAGCAATCAATCAATCAATAAACCTATGGGCACTTTTGCCACGATCTACCAAGCATAAAATATCGCTATATAATTGGAAATGATAGTTGTCAATCTTCCTTCTACTAACAAAGCTATAAAGATCTTTTCAGATAGCCAGACAGCCCTAAAAGTTCTGAACTGCAACCGAGTTGTTGCAAAAAAAACAAGGATACTTTGATCTGGGTTCTGGGACACAGTAGGGTGGAGTGGAGGGCAATGAGAAATCCTACCCGCTCGCTAAAAGAGCTAGCAACTGAATCTGAGTTCATAGATAGGATCATAACCATTCCTTGGTATTGCAAAAGAGCACTAAAAATAATAATATCCGTCCCTTCCCCGCACAAGCTCAGTCTGCTGCTGTAGTTAAAATTTACTCGTAGAGGGCTGAACTGTATGGAGAGAATTATTTTAGGTTTGTTCCAACATGCGCGAAACCCATAATAATACCGTACAAATCATGCGCTCTACGCAAAACTTGTATACAGCGCATGATTTGTACGGTTATATTACGGTTTTCGCGCTGTTGGAACAGACCTAATATATAATCTTCAACCTAACCTAACATACATATTTCTTAAAGATGGCGAATATATTTCTATTCGAAATCCGTGGTGCTCACCACAGATACCGGTTTCAGTGCTCTCGTCTGTTCTAGAACCACCTGCAAATCAAACAGACGAACCCTTCACAAAAATACTTCTTTGTTTTGTTTCCAAGCGTTTCTACTCGAAATCTCTACTATATAGGGTCTGATGCAGAAGTGTATCACTGTCTATGTTGATTAAAGAGGACTGTGTGTCCTCTATAATACTTTCTACCTTGTTACCGTACCCTATGTTTCAACCTGTAGGATTCTGTTTTATGTAGCCTCTTCTCACCGCGGTGGATCCAAGGAGGGAGAACAATTGCCCCTTTCCCTTAAGCCTAGTTATTGATTCCGTTGACACCCAATGAAAAAAATCAGCTCGTGCTACGAACACAGTGAATTGTCCCCCTTGGAAAGGTTTTGGATCCGCCCCTGCCACTCTTTCAGCTACAATGTGAAGGGGTTAGCATACGAGACACCATGGTTGCTTTGCGATATCGAGCGAGGTGACTCTGTGGTAACGTATAGTGGGTTTGAGCCTCATGCTACTGCCTAGTATAGCAATAGATGAATGCTGGGTCAGTAACATCCTCTCAAATACCTAACACCCAGCCCTCTCAGACCCGATTCCTCCAGTTCGGCTGAAGAGGCTAGAAAAGCTTATCATTTTTTTACACCCACATGGATAGTAGCTATTCTACTCACACACTCAAAAACGAAAAAGTACATCACTGAGTTCAACTGAACGAATATATTTCATATCCATTTTGCATAGTAAGAACACTGCACAAAAATGAAACCCGCCAATCAGAGTTCCTAGGTTGGTTAACCATAATAAATATTTATTTTACAATTCTGTCAAACTAATTGTTAGTATATTTTTTAGTAATTTAGATTAGATATACATTAAAATGACAAATAATAGCATTTCTAATTCGTTTATATTTACAAATAAACCGTAAATTTTAATAAAATTACGAAATCAATACAGGTATTAAAACTAAAATGTTAGGTCTGTCAATGGAGCCGAGACTACCGCAATTGGCTATCATGCGAGAGGTTCCGGGTTTAAATCTAGGATTGAAGACTAATTAAAATGAATAATTTTTGCCAAGTTTATTTTATTAATTAGTAAAGTCATAAATTATTTTTAAATTAGTTACTTTATCTCAATAAACTAAAATATTTTAGAAGTTCACCAAAAAAGGGACCACCTGCTTTACGAAAAATACAAGCAGAGGGCCTTTTTTATAGGTTTCGCTGAGAAAGGATCTGATTTTGTTTGAGGACCTTTCTCTTTGTTAGAAATGCAACATAAAGAGTACTTGATTTTGATTTTTGTATAAAATTGTCCCGGGGCCCACCATGGCTTTCGGCGACCCTGGCCACAGACCCCAAATATTCCCAAAGGGCCCCCCCTCTGGGAACACAAAATTTAAAGAGAAGAATTTACTTTAAAAGAAGAGCAGGTGGCTTTAGGAGCTATTTAAAGAGTAACCATTTTGACATAAGACCCTTTATAAAAAAAAAGAGACATTTTGGGGAATATTTAGTAAAACAACAAGTCAAAATATAAGGAAATAAAACAAAAATCGACTGTTATCTAATTTTCTCAACTTCACATACACAATTCACAACAATTATGAACAAATTTTTAAATTTTCTTTATTAAATAAATATTAATTGTTAAATAAAATAAACTCTACTTGTTTATTTGGCTTTGCCCTGTGCAGCTACTGCTTCCATAGCTTTCTTTACTGTTTCTGGATCTCCCAAAAATTCCAAACTCTTGATTGGTTTTAGGTTATCATCTAAAGTGTACACAAACGGAATTCCTGTAGGAAGATTCAACTGCATAATTTGATCATCTGTTAGTTCTGAAACAAAAATACATTCTGTTGTACCATGACCATAACATAAAAATTAAGACTCAACTTACGGTCAAGATGTTTGACAATGCCTCTCAAACTGTTGCCATGAGCAGCAATTAAAATTTGCTTGCCAGCCTTAATTTGTGGCACAATAGTTTCATTCCAGAATGGCAGAGTACGTTCAATAGTAAGTTTCAAAGATTCAAACTTAGGGAATTGATCTGGAGTCGGTCCTTCAGAGTACCGGGGATCCTTAACAATAGTGTCATAGTAAGCATGATCAGCTTCCATTGGTGGTGGTGGAATGTCAAAGCTGCGCCGCCAGATAGCTACCTGTTTCAAATAACCAAAATATGCATACAGAGTATACTTAAATACTAATGATTAATTCAATAAAAATTATATATTTTGATGTTTAATTAAAACAAGCCATGAACCAATGGATTTTCGTAAACAAATTAGCTTCATGAGTATGTTTATTCAAAAATTGTATATATTGTACAAAAGTACAAGTGGTTGGATGAGATTATTTATGTGTAAAATAAAGTTATTTTTTTTTAGTAGGTACAGTGAAATACCCTTGTAACAGGGCTGGCTTATGTATGTGTGATCCCTTTAGAATATGCAACCAGTATCACACATACACCAAACAAAAAGTTAGGTTATAACACCTTACAAGTGTAGCATTTAATTAATAAAAAATAAATTTAAAGAAATAAGAGTACATCAGTAGATAGGTAATACATGTATTCACCTAGCACATAGATCAAAGTTTATTAAAAGACAGTTGTTTTAATGTCTCCTATTTTAATATTCTGTCAATGCTTCTCAGAACAAATTTACCTTTTTCCATTAAGGAAATAATATCTATTTATTAATAATTTGTTCAAATGCTTAACCTTTTTCAGGAAATACTTTGTAAAATAAAAAATACCTGCTCATCTCCATATTTAGCAGCAGTTTCTGCCTTATTCAAGCCCGTAAGTCCTCCATAATGCCTTTCATTCAGTCTCCAAGTTTTGATAGTTTGTAAATCGTCTTGCCCAATCCCTTTCAATATAGCCTGGAGTGTAACTTGGGCTCTGGTAAGAACTGATGTATATGCAATATCAAATTTATAGCCTGCATCCTTCAGAGCTTTACCAGCATTTTCAGCTTCTTGCTTGCCTGAAGAAAAACGTATGGATGTATTTATCTATTCTTTTAGGCGTAAACCCCAAAAAATTTTGGAAAAATTATGTAAATATAGAGGTTATGTATAAAGGACATACAAGGTTATATTTTTACATACCTTTTTCACTCAAGTTTGCGTCGTACCATCCACAGAACAGATTTTTTTCATTCCATTCTGATTCACCATGTCTTACCATAACAATTTTAAATGGTGCCATTTTTATTATTTTTTGAGGAATGAGAATAAAAATTTTTCTGCAAATGAAACAACCGGACCCCGGACTTTTCAAACGATAGCCAAAAGTCAAACTTGTCATCCGTCAGTCCGTCCACAGATCACAGTCCGTCACTCACAAAACACTGGTGTCAGTTGTTGACACAAGATTGAACCAGAGCAGGGCACCGAACTGTGCACCGAACGCAGAAATTCAATGAGACAGAACCGTCATCGCCCATTCAGATTTAAATATGTTCTCTGTACATGTTATTATTTGAGGGTATAAGGTGCGTGTGTGTATATATAAATAAAAGATTAAAATATAATAAAAAAACATTTATGTTTAACGATAAATTATGTTTTTTAATGTATTAATTTAATAAGAACTAAATTACCCAATAAATTGCTAAAAAATGCATTTCCAGCGAACTTGGCAGAATTTTTATGGACTAAAACAATACTTATATACAGAATTTATAACATATATGTTGGTGCATAAAAGGAATATAAATTATTAAGAGCATAAGGAGTGTAATAGTACATATACATATTCCTGCCAAATTATATTTTATATCTGCATTTAAAATTAATATACTTTAAATAATGAGAAAATTATTTTACACAAGACTTACATTACAAAACAAAATAATTACATCGGTAAAACTATACATGTCTATAAAAAAAATAGTAACTTATTAAAAATATTTTGATATACCTACATACATTATGCAATTCCTATATTTATATAAAAATTTTAAAGCGTTTTTCACATTTCTCACATCAACCCCATTTTTTTATTCTTGCTTCTTTATTTTTCAACAATCTACAGCTAACTTATCGTTGATATAATCCTTTTGGTTTCTTATAAAAATTTTACAGTATCACATTAATCTGTCTATTAGCTTATTTTTAAAAGAGAAATTTGAGCACTATATTTGCTATGCTACAATTTTATTACTTGATGTAGCGTCCATCTTGTCTCAAGTACCCCCTCACATACGAATATTAAATCTGATTATTTTAACCAACAAAAAAAAATATTTACGACAAATAATTTTTTGGAAGACATTGAAATATAAAATGGAGAATTGAGAAAAACGCTCTTAAAAATAAAACGTAAAAAGGTTATTTGGTCTGTCAAAAATCGTTTTGAACGCGGCATATAACAATTATTGGCAGTTTCCAATCGCTTTAGGAATAAACATTATACATCAGCAATTACTTTTTATTGGAATAATAAGAACAAATTATACAAAATTTGTTGGTTATACAAAAACTTGACTTAGTATCTTCCTAACACGGTAAAAAGACTAAATATAAAATAGAAACGAATTTCTGCGCCTATGAATCTTATCCTACATAACTATATTTCCTCAGTATTTCTGCAAAATGATTACATAAGATATGTTACACACAATATAGGCAAATAACTAAACTTCGTAACCGTGTTTATTTTTATTTATAAAATTTTCGAAGCTAATACGACGGTACGAGTGCAAGTAGTATACTGAGCTAAAACACATTATGTGCTTATTTTTAATAAATTATTCGAATTATGTGTTAAAACTACAATTATTAGTTATTACTCTACATAAGTGTCCAAAATTTTCTCAGTTTTTTGAGGTAATCCAATTTAACTGAATTCAGCAGTTTAACATAAAAATTATATTTTTCTGGACATGTCAATAATAAAAGCAGAATTCATAATAATAAATAATGATAAAGGGAAATAGACATTAGGATAAATTAATCTCGTCATCTTGTTTTATTATTTTTTGCTTAGATTACCCAATGCTTTCTTTTTGGTTGCTGATTTGGACACATATTTATTAAAAATTGCAAAACAACTTTGTTTAAAAAAAATATTTACAAAACGAAATGTACAATATTTAAAAAATTGTGTTCACCTATGTTAGATATTTATAATTCAAAAGTGTAAAATACCAAAAATTTTAAATATTAAGTCCTCATTTAATTGACAGGTATTCTAAATGATTCATTTCTTTCCATCTGTTTATTTATTGATGAGCAAAATTAATGTTTTATTGAAACGAAGAACTATAACATAAGTGAACAAAATAAACATATCATACAGAGTCGTCACATTTATAAAAAAAATATTTTTATTAATAATTACTAGCAAAATTTTTCAAGAAATAAACAGGCTATTCGTATTTTTGAAATTACTTATAATAGCTGTATTTATACAAAACATGTACTGTAATATCTATTCCCTTATTTCGATTTTCATTTAATAGATTAAACATTCTGGGTTTTGGAAATCATTAATATCATAATGTTAAATTCGACTACTCTGTATTAATTTAATACAAATTATGAAAATTACTTTTACTAACTTTATACATAGTTAAAAGCATATGAGTTATCACTAATTTTTACGGCATAATTGAATTATTAAACCACTACCTACGTTATAACCAAAAAATAATATTATTTATTAAATCAACTGTTGATATACATGATTTTTTTAGGAATTTTTAACAACCTTATCCTTTGGAGACTAAAATATAACCTTACCCATTATTATTTTTTACTTATTTTGATAATACGAAAATTGTATCAAACTAAATTTCGATCAATTCGTATTAAACATAAGAAAAATTATGTGATTACAGTACTATATCAAGCATTACAGATGCTCATTTTGTATAATTTTAATATTTTATGATATTTAGGAGTACAGTTGAAAAATCCCTAAAGACGTTTTTACTTTAAATATAAAATACTCAAGTCTCTGATAAAGGATGTATCAAGCACATGAAACAATTTGTATATTTGAAAAATCTTGGAACTAAATTAAAATATGAGTTAATAAACAATATTAACTCTTAAATATACAAGTAGTTTTATGTTGTGACACGCCTTATGGTAAAATAATTCATAATTACATTAAAAAATATCGTAAAAATTGTTTGTATCAGTTTTGATAGCAAAAAGTACTAAAAGTAAAAATGAATTATTTAGGAGAACCAAACTAATCCGGTGCTTCGTGCTAAGGACAGCACTGGGTCTTTGAAGGCATGTCTAATATACTGGGGTGTCAGGAAAGCTGTACCCCAGCACTTTTAAATTTTCGTAAACTTATATGGTATGGTACAACATTTATTTAATCCACACAATCCGACATATAAAACATAAATAGAAAAATGTTAATTTGCCACATTTCTCTATTTATAACAAGAGTGAGCCACAGTAAAGGAATTTTTCAAGTAAGAAATGATTTTCAGAGGTTTTCAGCAATAAAATTGATTATACCATTATCACTTGAAAATCACATCACAAAATTATTCAATTTAAAAAAATTAATTTAATATTGAGATTATGGTGGCAAAACCGAAGGGTAAATTTAAATGAAATTTCAGACACATCTGGATGGAACTCCTTCAGAAATCAGAAGTCACGGAATTCTCTTATAAAATAACGAAATTGAAGATTAAACTCTTAGAACAACAGAAAATTTAAATTTATCAAATTCTAGGTAAGCGAATCCTGCCAATTAAACAAATAGCAAAGTGTAGAACCACTAGAACCCTTGGTGAATACAATTTAACTGAAAAAGTATGCTGTATTTTATACTGAACGGTGGTATAATGGCTACATATTGAAATTCGAGGACAATGGTTGGTCTTAAAAGTATAACTAATTTGATTTTAGTGACCCAAAGCAAATCTCTGAAAAAAAAAACGTAAACTTGAGATGAGAACACCTCTCTGCTCGCGACTAATTTTTAAATTTAGCATAAAATGAAAGAAAACTAAATAAAATCTAGCAATTTGTAGATCCAAAGTCTTCAAACTAAGACATGTTTTTACTAGAGATCTTTAATAAGTCCGAAAAGTTTGACTTTGGACCCATAGTATTGCTTATCTACAAACTTGTCTTGAGAGCTCTATACAAATTTGTAATATTATAGGGTTCTCTATTTAAAAAAATACAAGTCTATATTACCATCTGAAGGTTTTTCATAGCTACTATAGGTTTTATATATAAAGTACCTAATAGAAATTGCTACGTGAAACAGCCTCTACATTTCTTTTACCTGAAGCCTTATACTTACATTAGATTAGTACCTACAAATAAAATTTCAAATCTAATCACACTGTAATAAATTAACTTTATTTTACAATTATGTAATTCCTTCATTTTAAAACAACTTATCTTATTTTTTTTGTTATATCACTTTATTATATTAGATACCTATACCTTCTTTTTCTTTTAGAAAATATTTCAATTTTGTTTTTGCTCATCCCATATTTATTTAGGTAAAACCGAATTCCTTCTGAAATTCTTGAATTCCATTGAAACTCCCAGAGTACCTGAGTACACACTTTTTCTAATAAATTTACCCCTCAACCTAAACGTATTATATTAAAAGCCACAATGAACATAAACCTCTTAAATGTGTTAGAGCTAATGCTACAAAAAAACTTTTTTGTTCTGTGATTTAAAAATAAAATTCCTGGGGAAACCAAACTGTACATACGTAGTAAACAAGAATAATAATAAAAATAATATTTCTTCTTGAAAAGACGAATTTTATTAATAAATTAACTGTCCTATGACTCACACTAATTAAATTTGGCCCAAAGTAGCACATTAATTTAACAACACTATTTTATAATATCAAATATTATAAAATAAGCCTGAAACCTACCTAAATTAAGCTTTGCTTACCTACAAAAAAAAAAAAACAAAAAGAAACAAAATAAAAAAAATAAATGTTTATTTAAAACCATACTATAAACATTAGAATGTCACTTATCACATACTATAGGCCTTATCTAGATTGAAATAGAGTAATTAAACACTCATTCCAAGAGTTATAGCTTGTTTTGAAAAGGAATATATTTTTAAAACACTCGGTATTTTTTGCTAATAAATTTTAATATAGGTTATTTAGGAGCTTTGAAAACTAAACCTAATTGGTTGAAAGTTATATGCAATTAAAAAGCAGAGAAAAAATTAATGTGTCTCCCTCAAAAGGGATGTTATGTGAATGATAAAATGCTTTAATAAGGAATTTAAAGTAAAGTGCTATCATCAGACCAAACACAAACACTAAAAAAAAATCAACAATAAATAAACTATGGGTCTTTCATTGTAACACTTAAACAGTATGAACAACAAAGGAATTCGGCAATAAATAATTTTAACGCAAATCAGGGCTCTCATTCAGTTGTTTTTTAATACGTAACAGGATTGTGGTGTACCATTGATCCAGACGGGAAATAGAATCATAGTCCTTCACAGCATCTGTGTAACCATCAACATTCTGTTCTTCAATGTGTTCTATCAGTGTTTTCAATAACTTGTATTCTCTTGAATCTTGGAAAGCTGGGTACCTAGAGCCCAAAATTATGCTAATAGTAAATACAAAATAGATAGTGTATATATATTTCAATTCCAAAGGAAACCCTACAATTTAACTGATATTTTGTTAACATCTTATAAATGCTTACCTTTGTATATAACTTTCTATGGCATGCTGGGCATTGAGAACATCCACACATAAGTGACAAAGGGCAGCCCTAAACAGATACTCTTTGGCACTGTACTTCAATAGAGAGCTCTCCAATGCTGAATAAGCCACTTCTTGGTATATCTGTATTGCTTTTTCATAATTTTCAAGTTGGGCAGCATACTGGGCGACTTTTAGAAGGCATTTATTAGCAGATGAATTGCTTTCTTCACCTCTAAAGTAGTCTGCTGCTTGTTCATAGTGTTGAACAGCCCTCTCTAGGTCGACAGAGTCAGTCTCATACATTTCAGCAATTGTTTGATGATGTTTTGCTGCCATTGTGAATCTACCCATATCTGTGTAGATTTCTATTGCTTTTAACAAGCAGTTTACAGACTCTGAAAATAAAAGTTTGCAATAATGTTTGATAATAATTTCTGCTTAAATAGTTTCCCCACAATCACAACAGCTCTATAGAGAAATATGTTTTCAACTTAGCAATTCATATCAAAAATTTCATATTAAAAATATTTAAATTAAAAATAATTTACTTCAGTAAATTAATATAAATAATAGCTCATAGTACAATTAGCTTTTAAAAAAATATACATTTTAAGCTGATAACAGTTTAACTAACTGGTATCTGTCTGACCTCTAAATTTATATATGTAACTAGGTAGAAAAGGTTTTAATTTACTTACCATTAATGTCAGCCTTTTTATAACAATTTGCTGCATCTACATAATTTGTAGCAGCATCGTGACGAGCACCACTTCTTGAATGCAAATTTGCTGCTTCACAAAAAGCTTTTCCTGCTGAATCCCAACTTTTAGCCATTTTAAAAAGGTTTGCAGCCCTTTGGTAACATTCCACTGCATCTTCAATACGGCTTGACCCACTGAAAACATATATATGTAGGACAAAACTCCGAAATGTTGAATAAACAAAATATAAACTGTTTTTAATTATTTCAATGAATATAGAGTAACTATAAAATGGTGATACATACCCAAAAAGAGAACCGAAAAATCCCCTTGAGGAAACTTTCTTCTCGGCCTCGGCCATTAGTTGCTGCGCTTTTTGTACATTAGAAGACATTTTTTGAATAATTTTTCTATAAATTCTACAAAACAAATTTTTTCCTCTTGATGACAACAGCTATTGACAAATTAATTCCGATAATCGAAATAGGTGTCACTATTGTCACTGTCACTTTACAAAGCTGCCACCCACAATATATCCCCAACCTGCCAACACTCAACACTACCAACTGTAAAATCATGTGTATTTTATACAATTTTTCGCGATTGTATTCCTGTCCTGAAGAAGTGCTGTGGCTAGGGATGGGCGATATTCCACGTAACAGTGATTTTGTAACTGATATAGTTTTATCAGTCACACAGTTACAACTTACAACAGTGACAAGCTCTACGTGACTTTGAAGTTTCGAAGTCGTGACATGTTACAATTTTAGTACTTAGAATCCATAAAAAATATTAAAGTTAAATTATAAAAAAGGAGTCATGTCCGTTTACCCTTTTGTAGGTGATGCTATTTTATGATTAATATCTTACGAATCAAAGTCCTAACATAAGAGATAAACGACCATTTGCAATAATGTCACTTGTCATAACCAACAGTTGTATCCACAAAGCATGTGCTTTGTGGCTGTATCTTTTATATGCCGCGTTTGAGAATCCACATCGGATGCATTTTTACATTTCGAGGGTTTTTTATCCACATCGGACACATCTGTCCCATTACATTTACGTATACTGAATCACGAGATCAAAGATTTACTACATCTCAGATGCATCCGATGTGGATTCTCAAACGCGGCAAATATTTCAATAAATTTTCTAACTTGTAATATTTTAATTTGTTTTGAACCAGTAGTTATATTTCTACAAAATAGACTGAAGAAGGATGGTTAGGTTCGATAGAATATTAGCACTTTCACCCTTATTTCATTTGTAGAAAATGTTTGCTCATTTGCTGTCACTTTTGTCTTTTGTCACGAAATCACAGGAATAAGTTTCACTGATACTTGAAAATCAGGATATCGCCTATCTCTAGCTGTGGCGGAATTAGTGTTCTGTGACAGATTAATCGTTCTGTGTAAACGTTGAGCAATGTGTCAAATAAATTATTTCAAATGTCGAAAAGTTAGAATTTACCGGAGGTTATGTTTTTGTAATTTGTTTTTATAATTTATATCTAGTTGAAAATAAGTATGAAAGATTTATATATCGCAGACAGCTTGCAAAATCTAGATGTTATTGCCCAAAAAGATGATGTTATCTACAGTCTCAAGAAATCTCACAGGTACATAAATTTATAAATTACAGACCAATGTTTATTTAATGTTTTCTTTTCAGGTTTACTCATTTTGCAAACAAAATTTTGGCCCAACTACTTCAGTGCCAGGACGATGAAGAAAAGTGTTATATATTATGCACGAGATACATACATCTCGTGGATTATCTTTTTAAAATATCCGACGATAGAAACCACTCCGAATTGCTTCATTTGAGCGATTATCGCAAAGTTAAACTCCGTATAACTGAACTGAGAAAAAGTCTTGATGAAAGGTAAACCCTCTATAATTCTAACATTTTTATTTCTACGGTATTTTAAAGGCTGTACATAGTTATAACCGTGGTATGTATTTCCAAGATTGATTTAATGAATCAATTCTTCAAGTAGATTATTTAATAGAAAGGCACAGTTTCATTGGTATTAAAGATAATTTAATTTCATAAAAAGCAATAGTTTCACTAGGAATAGTAGCAATAAAACCAAAACAATACTAGTTCAAACTATTTTTTTGAATTATTTCAAATATATTTCAAAGGTATGTACTTGTTGAAGGTCTAAGGTTATATAATAATCTTCATTAATTGAAAAATTTGCACCAAATAGAACTTTCAAAGAAGGTTAAGAAACATTTAGTTTAATTTATTTTTTATCATTAGATACACATATAAACTCATGAATATGTAATAGCTTTGGAGCTAAATAAAGTATTTCTTTATTTAGTTGAATTTGAGGAGTAAACCACTCCTGAATTACAGGTACTGCAGGAGCTTGTGGATCAAAACACAAGGGAAAAGACCTATAAAAAAAGACCGACCAAACAAGAATTGAAGAGGTTTTCAAATTAAAAAAAAAAAGGTAATTTGAAGACAATTTATAAAGAAATCATAGGAAATTTTATACAATAAAGTGGACAAAATTAAGGTAGATTTCAGAAAATCACCGAAATCATATGAATTTTAGATGATTTCTGAAATATAGTTACTTTTGACCTTAGTGGTTTACGCCTCAGTTGAATTATTGGCAGAAGTAGAAGACCATGCCACACTGTTATATTTTATAAACTCAGGTCTTTATTTTATGTACCTATTAACTAAACAACATAATTTATTTTCTCTGAATTTAATGTTTAAAATATGTGAAATTTTTATTTTATTTACTGTATTATTTCAGATATAATGCATTATCAATTGGAGAACCTAATACACCAAGTTCACCAACAGCTTTGATTCCCCAAACAACTAACATGAAAATTGGAGATGCTCAAGAATTTAGAGGTATTTGAAATGTTGACCAATAATAATTTATTTTTTCAAATAAATTTATATTTTAATTACAAAATATGCTGTGAAGTTTTTTTTGTGATTATTAAACAAAATATAAGAGTATTTTATTCACCTCAGATAGTAATGTATCACTATTTTTATAATAAATAACAAAAATGTTTTTTAGATAAATTTATATCACCACGTGAGCTGTTTTGTATACTTGAGAAAGAAAAGAACTTCTTATTAGTAGATATACGATCTCAATCAGATTATGCTAACTGTAGAATCAGTGCGAGAGAAGGAACAGTAATTAATATACCTGGAGAGCTGATTATAGCAGGGTATTCTTTTTCATTTACTTATTAATGAATTAATGGCCAGTGCCCAAATAACTTTACAATTTTAGTACACAAATACAAACATGTTACATTTATATTTGCAAAGCTCAGGCAAAAAGTTATCTTGATGTAGTAATATATTTGCTTTAATTTCATTGACATTTCCAAGTATTGATGCAGGGCTGTAGATTTAATTTGTGCATTAATGTATTAAATTTCAAGCAAGCGGTTCTTTGAAACATTTCCAAAATTGAAAATCTGTGAATACTTTTAACACTTTTAAATATATGCATTATTTGTAAAACAATGATCCTATTTTGACACTGGAAATAACTACAGATTTATGTTGAGACAAAAATTTGTTATTTTATATTTTAATTTTAGCTTGTCTGCTAATACACTGGGTCATTGTTTAGATAATTCTATAAAAGATATATGGGATAAAAGGGACAAATTTGATATTATTATTCTTATGGACAATGACACTCAAAAATACAATTATGTTGGATCAAAACTGGAACGACTAAGAAGTTTTATTGTTGAGGTAAGGGGAATAATAAATTGCAAGTCTATGTAAAAAAAAATCTTGTTTTGAATTATTCTCAGTTAAGTTTGATTTTAGAGTGAATTCCTTCGTTTCCAAGGACTTTCCTTGCATCCTCTTTAACACAGCCTAAATAAAACTCTATGATCTTAGTTATCTCATAAATTTTCTTCATCTTCTATTGTATCTAGCCCATCATACAGGTTTGCATAAATTAATTGTATTAATTTTTATTTATTATATTGCAAGTTTTGTAAATTATACAATGAAAATAATTATAAAACAACTGCCTATTTAAAAATGTATAGATAAGCAAAGTGTGTATTCTAAGGATAATAATGAAGTTTCATAATATCCTATCTTAGCTGAGCAATTTAGTTTTAGTTTAAATCTTTATTTTCTTTTAATTATTATCTATATCTCAATTTATTACACATAAATGCAGAATTTTCCTCCTTAAGCATCCAAGAGCACCCTTGGCAGATGCACAATGGGCCTAGTGAGGCATAAGTGTTGTGAGGCAACCTACCCTTCCCATATACCAGATATCCTTGGCAGATATTTCCATCTGAAACCATGTAATTCAGTTTGTCCTTGTTGCTGAGCATGTCCATCTTTCTGCTTTTATTTCATTATGCTTTTTCAGTGGGACAGCCTTCGCATTTACAAACAAGAACCTGTTGTAGTAAACGGTGGTTTAAGAGAGTATGTTGAGTGGTTTCCTACAACTGTAGATAATTCGCAGGTATTTTTGAACCAAACAAACTTTGAAATAGATGAACTCTTAGACCTTGATTGCATAAATTACCCAGAAAGTGGTTCCACCAAACAAATGAATCTTAAAATCCATGATATAAATTCGCTTAGCAATTTAGACAGTCGTATTAAAGGAGACTTTGAAGATCATGGAGAAGGTGATGAAAATTATAATAAATTGCATAGCTTATCTGAAGGCCATCTACCCCTGGACTTCTATAATTCAAAGGAAAGCCTACCAGTTAGTCCATACAAATGTTTATCTGAAGAAGCTTTTCGGAAAGATGTGCCTACTCCAGAACCAGATGTCCTTTTTCCTCCTGTGGTTGAAGGAGAACAAATACAAAAACCAACACCAGAAGTAGAGGAGGAAGCAGAAATTAAAGAAATCATGGAAGGCGACAAGGCAGCTCTTCTGCGCCAAGCTAGAAAGGCTGCTAAGCCAAGATTTGGTGTAGGTGAACCTCAAGAGAAAGGAGATAGAAGAAGGGAAAGGCCTGAATCTAGTAAAGGTTCCAGCCCTCGTGAGAAAGAGCCAAGATTAAATGAACCGACTGGCCAAGATCAGTTTATATTTGCTAAACCAGCTCCTCCTACTATTGATAGATCATTCAAACCTGTTCAAGTGAGTTTTACTACTGGCAGATTTGGCATGTTTTTTGGCAATAGATATTGATTTTTATTTAAATCTGCATCAATTGATTTATTTATAGACCACAAATTAAATGATATCAAATACCAAAAAACACGCTATACTTAGTTTCCATTGGACAACTTTATGAATTTGGTTTATTACTGCTTATTAAGAGTCTGTCATTTCAGTTGATTGGAGATGGTTATACGGGTCTGAGAAATTTAAAAAATATATGTTACATGAATGCTTTGCTGCAATGTTTAAAAGTTATTCCTATAATAAAATCGGTTTATGTAACTACAGATAGATACATTACTATTACAACCAGATCACCACCCAGGGTGAATTATCATTTTGCTGATGTAAGTACACATTTTCAGGGTTTTAAAAAATATATTACAGAAATTGGGAAATAAAAAATACATCATTTTGTCTGATATAAGTGTAAAAGCTCTAGTTTTAAATTGTAGGTACTTAGGGAGCTTTGGTGTGGTACCAGTCAACAACCAAGAGTGTTCCTAATCCAAGAATTCAAAGATAGAATATGTGAATTTGCTCCAATGTACGATAGAGGTACCCATGAGGATTGTTTCGAATTTTTCATGTTTTTATTTAATGCACTTAGTGAAGACTGCTCAGTTGACCTGCCACGTTTAAAAATGATGACTGAAAGTGAAAAAGCATGGTACGGACATCTTCAAGGCAGGTCATCTATTTTAATAGATAATTTTTATTACCAATTAAAAAATACCAAGGTTTGTTGTAATTGCCAAAAAGCGAATCATTCATTTGAAACGGATAGCACCTTAATGTTGCCTGTGTCTACAAAATCAGGTTATTTAAGAGACATGGTAGCTGAATATCTGAAGGAAAATAGACTAACCGACTTTTCCTGTTCAAATTGCAAGTCCACGGGTACTATTATCAATAAAAAGGAACTCGTGGTTGAGCCTGAAGTGTTGGTTATCGTTTTAAAAAGGTAAGAAGCTTTCTCGGATGTTCATGCAGATACCGATGCTCTAAATAGTACAACATTTATAATACAATACTTTTAATTTATCCAAGAACAAGGATATGTAGATAAATCAATATTATTGCAGTATAATTTGTCTTTCCTTGGAGGTTACAGAATTGAAATACCCCTTTTAATTGTCAATTAACAGATATTTACGTTTGGTACACCTTGATGATGACTTACTGCTCTTAATTATTTTAGATACATAGCCAATTCTGATGGCACTTTCCGAAAAAATGAAGCAGAAGTCGGTTTTCCTATGCACGATTTGCAATTTGGCAAATCCAAGTACAATTTGTATGGGGTGGTACAGCATTCTGGAGGAATGACGTATGGGCACTATTTTGCTTCGGTTCTTTTGAACGATAAAAAAGGCACTTGGGCTATGTTTAACGACGAGGCAATAACTTTACACTCTACTAATATCAATGAACAAACGACCATCAGAACAGCAGTAGCTGGATTTTTCTATGTTCGCAAGAGAATAGTTTAAAGGTAAATGTGATACAAAATGATATTTCTCATTCCATTTGATGTATTTTTGATACGATATTATGTTTAGAGTTATTTTGAATAGATGTGTTAATTGTGTTAGTCAGTCATTATGTGCTAAATAAGTGCCTGGATACTTGTTGTAATTTTTTTCTTTTATGCACTAGTTTTATTATGAAATTGTTAATAATTGTGTATCTTAAGAAATTTGATAATTATAAAATGTTCTATCTATCATTTTTTGATTATGTGATATGCTTATTTGGAAATAATGGTTGTTGCTATAAAGTCTGGAATCAGTGCTTTTAAACATTTGGTAATACTATTAAATTTGAAATATGTAATAATTGGCCTAATTTTAAATCTTATTTGATTTGCTATTTTATACCTCTTTATTTAAACGCAATTTCGAAGAATTTGTTCATAAAGGCATATATATGGTATTATTTTCAGAAATGTTTTAGATCATTTGTTTCATTCTTTTTAGCAACCTTACATGTGCGGCGTCTAAAAAATTTGTCCATAAACTTTAGGCGATAAGTTTTCATAATAAAAATACACAAAAGAGTTGGGAAAACGATTATAGAAACGAAAATGTGTCACTAGGGTGTAGTATTTATTATAAAGTATTACTTGAATTGTTATTTTTTATTGCAATATCATACATATAAATAAATGTACCTTACCAGACATTTAATAATCTAAAATGAATTTAGTATTTAAAAGCTACATACAATTATTCAAAATCATATATATTATTTTAATTAACTATTTCTTAAGTGTTCGAGAGTAATGTTAATTTAACAGTAACTGAAAAAATGTGTAATGTTTTAACTCAAATATATAGTCTCCGTGTTGTATTATTAATATTAAAATCCATAAAGATGGACCAGAAGAATAATCTAAGAGGCAAAATAAGTTATCACACACGCATTTTACTAGTTGCATCTTTGTTAGGGACAGTTCTACCATTCCTTATTCATTCGCAATCAGATTGAAGTTTACTAATCTCAAAGGTAAATAATTCTCTTTCAAAGTTTCATTGTTAATTATAAAAGTACAACTAGTCGTAATATACTATTTTTGCATAATTTTGAATCGCCGCCTAAGTTTATGGATAATAATGGAAATAGACTAAGTAAATTTGTATTTAAAAAAATGAATATACATATTTTAAAGAATTTATAATTGAGTTAGTTTTCAAGTGAAGTAATAATAAAAAAGGACTCTTTAAAAAATGTATTGTAGCACAGATTATCCTGCATTTTGAACAATTTGGGCAAGGTTTGGATAAACCTTCAACCATTGAAAAATTTGATTAAATTTTAATTTAAATATCAACGAATAATATAAAGATAATAAATAATATATCAATTTAATATGCAATAATTGTTGTCCACTCTGCAAAATACTCTGTGTTGTTTTTTGGAACTAACAGTTTCTAGGAAGTTTATTTGGTGTACCCAGTGCCGTCTTAGACCACACTGGGACTCTTGAGCATACATAGTTTGGGGGCCCTTTTACATACAAAAAACAAAGAATGCAAACAACTGAATATACTTTTGTTTTGTGACTTTCTTGGTGTAACACAACGACAGTAAAGTTGTCAATTGAAATAATCAAAAGTTTATACCAATGTTGGTGATATTACTGTTTAAATCATTGTTAATATGCATGTTTAAGTGAACATGAGATTCCAAAGTGAATTTCATTTCTTGGAAATAAGCAAACTTTTAGTTTTCCTGATCCGATGAACTGTCAAATTATAACATTTGTATGGAGTGGAATGCATCTCCTGTGTTCTTTTATTCAACTGTTATATCTTCCTGTCTTTTTTTTTTCATCAATTATCAATCTACCAAAAAGTTGTCTTTTGTATTCAACGTTGTTGTAATCAAAATACAACATCAATCCATCAGTTTCAATGCATGATTTTTCAGTTTAGATATGACAACTGACAGCTGGATTGAGGGAATATTTTATTTATTCTATTGTAGGAAAAACGAACAAATAGACTTTTAGAAAAACATATTTTTCCAAGTACGGTGCATACATTAAAATAAAATTAAAAAACAAATTTTAAGCAACAATCAACACAACAAACTGTCAAATGTTATTTCTTACAAAGATCACTACAAATAAAACGAATCCAACACAAAGCGTTCAAAGTTGCACCCGATGAAACAGCGATTGCAACAAATTGAAGGAAAAAAGGACATATCACAGCTTTGCATTGATAGTGGCACAACTCAAAAAAAGTTAAAACTCTTTTACTACTCAGAAATGTTCTGCATTGTATATAATTTTATTATAAAAAACAGCACATTAACACTTCGTAGCTTTCGCGCTACTAAGTGTTTTGTGTTTTTTATGATAAAATTATATACAGTGCAGAACATTTCTGTGTAGTAAAAGAGTTTCGACTTTTTTGAGTTGTCCCACTATCAATGCCAAGTAGCGACATGTATCCCTACCATAATTGTTGTTTAAGGTATCGTGAGGTGCATGCTGAGGTGCAACACTAGGTAGCGCTAATGTAGGTGACCATTAGATGGCATGGATAAAAATATATGGGTATTGGGTTTCTGTATTTCAGGGCCCCCATTAGGGTGGGGACTCATGCCCTTAGGGTAAAGACGGAAGTGTGTGCACCAGAGTTACATCTAAATTGATGGCAAATATTGAGTGTTTGCTTCATACTTTTGCATTTTTAGTCCGTTTTATATTCTACTTAAAAAAATTATGTATATTTTGTAAATAAAAATGAACCAGTATTTTAAAATAAATTGTTATTATTAGATTTTCGATTCGTAGAAAAATAATTTCTAAATTAAAAATCAAATTTTAATAAAAAAAAAACAATCTTAAATATGCATTTTTGTTATCTATCCCTTCATTATAATTTATCCCAAAGGTTGGTGGTGGATTTTGTCATGATTAATACGTTTATATACAGTGCTGGCCTACCTTGCCTGCCTTGAAATGTCCAACAACATACAAGAAAAAAAACAACATTGTCAATGTTGCCAGTTACAGGTGGTGCAAAATTGATGGCTGACAGGGGCCAAGTTACAAACAAATCTCAACCTATTTTATCCATAAAAAACATGTAAATACAATTTTTTGTTTATTGGAAAATTTAATATGTATATCCTAGATATACAGTATTGACCATCGAATATCTTCCAATATCCCTTGGCACAAGTATAAGTGAAAGCTACAGAGAGTTGGCATTGGAGCGAGCAGGAAAGAAATGGTGTTAACGTTGCAATTTGTACGAATCGACCGTGTTGAAACGTTGGCCAGGCTGTACAAGCTGGCATCGCTGGCATTGTTCCTTTCCTGCTTTCTTAGTGCTGTTCTGATTTAAGATAGAGCACTGTTTTGTTAGGACTAAGCAAGCGTGTGTGAGCAATTTTTTTTAAAAAACTACTGATTATGACGCTTGTGTATAAAGGTACCAAAAGATGAAGTGATCCACAAAAAATGTTTCTTAAGTATAGGCCTTGGAAAAATTAACGTATGCCGGAGCATACAATTCTTTTAAGGTGTATCTTTAGATTCAATTTAAGAGCGGTGCGTAGTTTTCATGGATATAGCTCGTATCTCCGTCTTTGTCGGTTATGGTCTACTTTAGAAATGTTTTTTGTGACTCACTTTTTATAACAAGATGAAACAAATTGATATACAGTGTGCGCCATAAAGTTGGATCCATATGGGAATTATTTTTACTTTATAAGGAAAGTATAGGAATCATGATTTTTTTCGACCTCCAGTTTTCGACGAATTTTTACGTTTTGGGGTCCCCTGAATCCGTCTTGACTATTTTCGGGATGATGTCTGTGTGTATGTGTGTCTGTATCCATCATTACTCATGAACCGGTAGAAAGAAAAACACCAAATTTTAAACTTAAGCTTTATTCCGGCCTGCGGTGAATTGATTAGATTTTGGGCAGAGTCGGAACATCTGGGGGGTACTTTATAGGTGGTCATTTTTATATTTTATGGAATATATGTTATTTACGTTTGGATGAGAAAATTCTTCAAGTAAAAGTTACTTACAATATTATCAATATTTTTTGTTTTATACAAAATTTTGCTAAAATGGTCCGTATACGAGAAATTTGACAAAATGTAAAAAAAAATTATTTTTTTATAAAAATTGTTCAAATAAAAGTTGTTTGTAATATAATTCTCTATAATTTTTATCCCATACATAATTTCTCTAAAATGGACCGTATTCGAGATATTTGAAAAAATGTGTAAATTTCGAATTTTGAAGAAAACTCAAAAACGGATAGAGGAAAAAGTTTTAAATTTAAGTTTTATTTCGGCCTGACGTGAAATGATTAGATTTTGGACAAAGTCGGAACATCTGGGGGGGTACTTTATGGGAGGCCGTTTTTATATTTTATGGAATATATCTGTTATTTATGTTTGGAGAAGAAAATTGTTCAAATAAAAGTTACTTCTAATATTATTATCTATAATTTTTACTTTATGTCAAATTTTCCTGAAATGGTCCGTATTCGAGAAATTTGACAAAATGTGCAAAATTCTGATTTTTAAGAAAATTGTTGAACTAAAAGTTGTTTGCGATATCGATCTCTATAAATTTTTTTACATGAATTTTCTAGAATGGACCGTAATGGAAAAAAATTGGAGGAAAGGTGCTAAATTTAAATTTTTCAGTATTTTCGTTTTCAATGAATATCTATAGAAAAATGTTTCGAGGTAGATGAATGTTGAAAATGTATATATTTAGTTTATCCTCTAAACATTTATAAATGTGCTGCAATAGGTTGTACAAAATAACCGGAAAAAGCCTATAATAACTAGATAGGAAAGTCATGTGTTGGACACATCAGATTTTTAATATTACGATTAGAAAAAACATCATAGGCCAAACCCCTCTGCTAATTTAAAAACTTAAAATAGCCCATTTCAAAGTTGGCTACTGACATTAGTTTTTTGTCAAATTCGCATTAAAAAAATTTTTTT